AATGTGACGTCACAATACACAATCTCGTACTAAAATTTATAGAGAACTGTCGTTTTTTGACAGTTCGAAAAAGTATTGAATTTGCAAATACACTCAATTATGGAACTTATTAACATAGCGCAAGTGATATTCATTTAGGTAAGATTTCAGTATAGTAGCCTATTTCTTAATAGGCACTTTGTAACTTCTTAACGTTACCAATAACCAATAATTATAATTGACACGAAGTGCACATAAACATAACATCACGCCTTTTATCCCCGAAGGAGTAGGCAAAGGTGCCCATTATGCCACTGTACAATGTAACACCCACTTTTAACTATTTATGTTATGTGTCCCATGTAATAGGGGTGAGCCTATTGGCATATATCAGTCAAATTTCAAACTCAATGCTACTACTGGGATTTTTTTTAAAACCAGTAATTTTTTGCCCGATCCGGAAATCGAACCCGAGACCCCTTTCCCGGCAGTCGCACTTGCGACCACTCTGCCAACGAGGCAGTCAAAGTATAATCTATCCTTATTTTACCCATAGGTATATTAAAATTATCTTGTTTATCAAAATATTTATCACTCACTGCTATTACATTTATAATAGGTATAAAAAACAGAAGCAACATGTTTAACATAAAAAAGCCTTTATTGTTTTTACATTTACAGGTACTTATATGTATTTGCAAACAAAGTCGTAAAATCTAGTTTTGTACAATAGGTACCACAAGATACCATGTTAGGTAATACATAAAATTAATCTTTAGTAATTAAAATTAGACAATAATGGGTTAAACAAACAGTTTTATATGATTTTTATTAGTTTTATAACCATCTAACTTTCCGCTCCTAGCTTCAATTTTTAAATAACTATAACCTAACTTAGATTCGCGTCATATTTAGAAGTCGCAACAAAACTCTTTACTTTTTCGCATAGATATAGAATAGACGTCTTTCTTCAACCTTTTGAATGCACCGATATGAGTCTAGTGAAGTGGATAAAAAAGGTAAACCTCACATTATGAACACATCACGAAAATAAACACAGGATAGGAATATTTTCTAGGAAACAATCTTCCTTCTCTTCATAGTACTTCAAAGCCCACAAAGAGGCACTAGCGTAACTGTCGATCTGTCATCTAGTCGCGGAGAACCTAACGGGTTACCGGAGCTCCGGCTCGACGTGCAGGAGAAGGAACGGGGTGGTTTTTAGTCAGTAAGAGTCTGACACTCCCTCCCGCCTCACCCAGGCGGGAGCAGTCATTCGATGATTTTCCCCCTTAAAAAAAAGCGTATCATCAACTGTAAAACAGAGCATACAAGCGTTCCAATTCCAATATTTCTATTGAAAATACATTGTGTCTCGCATGAAACCGCGTTTAGACACAAAAGGTTAATAATAGTACCTAACCTTATACTAGGATTACCTTCTATGTCGTATGTGCACTTACAAACACAAATTGCACAAACACACACTTGACACCTACACTCTTTGTAAAATAAACATCAATTTGTAACTTTATATTGGTATTATAATAACTTCACCTTTCACTTAGAGTAGTTTTCCTGTGTCTTATATACTTCCGTTTAAAAATGTTATTTCAACATACATATTACTGTCAAAAGAAAAAGTCATTGTCAAATTGTCAAAAAAAATTGTTGTACTCGTTACACTAATATGAAGTACAAGCTTCTGTCGGCGGCTTCGCTCGCGTACCTATGGGATAAAAAGTAGCTAATGTGTAGTTCCAGAACATAATCTACCCCTGCTCTAAAGTTCATCCCGATCCTTTTAACCGTTTTTGAGTGAAAAAGTAACAAACACACATACATCTTCACAAACTATCACATTTATACCAATAGTATGATTTCGTCGGTAGTTGAACCACTGTACAGTGTACATATATAAGCAATTATACTGCAGGTTTATAGTCTAATAGTTAACCTACGTTTAAACCTAGAAGAATAATTTTACTTCTATTGACCACAAATTACGATAGATGGACGCAATCGTCTGTCCGTGTTAGTCAATGTAAAACAAAATGCAAGTATACTTTGACAATGATAAAGGTACAACTACAGGATAAGTTAATTCAGAAGGTTCATTTTAAGCAAACTTTCTCAGTTTAGTATCACATAATTGTTGTTTATCACAGCTTTTACTGTACTCTTATTTGTTTATATTAAAACTTTCGTGATCCAGCACAAACGATTAGCAAATTCAAATGGCAGTGGGCCGGTCACATTAAATTTGTCGAAGAACCGATGACCGTTGGGGTAGACGTGTTCTGGAGTGGAGACCGCGTCTAGGCAAACGTAGTGTAGGGCGCCCTCCAGCTAGATGGAGTGACGATATACGTAAAGTGGCTGGTAGTGGTTGGATGCGTAGAGCTGAAGATCGAGCTCAGTGGCATGCCATTGGAGAGGCTTATGTCCAGCAGTGGACGAAAATAGGCTGTTAATGATGATGATGAAAACTTTCGTGAGATATACCAAATTAATTATTATGTTTTCTGCTTACATGCGTAACCGTTTGACGAGGAACTTACTCTCTTTTGTTGTCAATTACATGCCTCTGATTTCCTATGTTTGTTGTTTCATCTCATTTTATAAGGAGGATTTACCAAACACTAAATCGCGCTTTTACTAAGTTTTCATTTCCATCTAATTTCTTTTCTTTTATTATTTTTAACACTTTGCCCCACACGAGGATTTTCTCCTGTGTTGTGGATTTGTTTACAAAAATACAACATAACATACAAGTGACAGCCAGTTCCGAAAAAACAATTTGTGAATCACACAAAGAGTTGCTCCGTGCGGAAATCGAACCCGCTACACGTTGCGCGGCAGCCGGTTGACTTTTCAAACTTAATCAAATATCAAATACTTTTCTTGTTCACATAAAATATAGAGATAAATGAGCTTTACTTAGCCTTCTGTTCAATTTTTATGTGCTTATACCATGGTTTGCAAGCGGGGGACGCGTGGACGCGCCGACAGATCGTCCGCCCACGAGCGGCGCCCGCGCAGGTGCGCCCCGCCCCCCTACACCCGCACTGTACACAGATTAAAAATAAGAAAATTTTTAATTTAGAAAAATAAAATTTGTAAATGGTAAACATTACATTTTTAGTTTCGACTTATTTGTTTTAACGCAGTTTGTATTTAAAAATATTTTTGGTGAACATTTTTAAAACAAATCAATGTTATTGTCAATATTTCTATACAATATGTTAGTTAGCAGTTTTGATATTTTATTTTCGTCCGTTTCGTATGACTACTATAATAATAAATATTAGTCTATCCCACTACTGAGCAAACGCCTCTTCTACCACATAAAAGGAAAGAGCATTAGTATAACAATACTTATGGGAAACAATTTACCAGTGTCGCATCTCCGCGCCTCCTCTCACCTACTCTTTGGCAGTAGAAAGCTTGAATGAACACTAGTGAATGGACATCGTGTACAGCTCTGATTTGAACCTAGGCCGTGTCTGGACCATGTTCAGCCGGCTCTACAGACCGGTACTTTATCAACACTTAGCCATATGCATTGAAATTATATTACCAGGCTTACTTGCATAGATACGTATTGAAGCAATTCCACAAACTACTCTGCCTGTATGTTTTGTACTCGTACTGTTTACGTTTTCTAAGGGAAACGTAAGCGTCTGCGTCATTTCACGTATGCATGCATCCTTCAAAAGCAATAGACGGTTTGACTTTGCCGTTTCGTTGACAATTTTTATTGTGTCTAAGCATTTGTTATTTGTAAACCGCCTATTGTGTGAGCTGGTCTCACAAAACATTTTCTCTTGTCATTAAATTCACAACTATCCACACCGATTCTAACATAACACACATATAATTATTGTGTATCTTACGAACAACCTATGAATTTTATCTCCTGTCCAACACATAAAAGGTTCTTGCAACAGTCATTAATCTGAACATGAGATTGGGTCGTTCACACGGATGTCTTTCATAACTTTTGATTAAACATAATTAAAATAGAATTACTACTTCCTAGGACATCTTAATACAAGATATAAATAATTATTAGCAATAGTAAATTGATTTCATTAAGGTAATTGGACGGATTGGTCGGGAGATAGAAACCTGAATTGGAATTGAGTCAGCAGGTCTTGATATACGTGTACGTAAGGAAACGAGCGAGACAGGTCATCCAAACATTAACATTTCAAGAATTTATTTTTCATTATTTGTCCTACATCATATCAACAGCCAATAAGTGGCAAGTGGCCATTACTGACCAATGACCTCTTTTCGAACGGAGATGGTTAGAGCTTTATCACCACGCTTGCTCAATGCGAGTTGGCCTGCGTAAGCGGCCAAAATAAAGACAATTAAATATGAAAATGAAACTTAGGAGAACTTAAAATTGGCATGCAAGTGACTGCAGCTTCAACAATGAAGGCAGGTTTTAAGTACTACTTTGCCAAACTTTTCCCAGTTTATGATGCTAGATACAAAAATTAATTTAAACATAATTAAATCAATTATGTACTTGACGCTAAGCGGATCAAAGGATGCCGGTACAAACATTTTGATACTATCTTAATCTTCCCGCCTACACCGCCACACACAATGGACCAAGCTCATTTTTTCTAAACAAAATCATCGGACAATGATGTTATGTCATGTATCATTTGATTGATAGGAATTGTACTTCACAGAATACGAGGATTCATAAAAACTCTTTGATTTGCATTTTTCTGATTCTGATGACTAATTGCTAACATTGATGGATTTATGAATGTTTTTGTGCGATTCCTTTTGTGGTCTGTTGGTACTTCTTGAAGAGGATTCTGGTTAAGGCAGTGTTGTAGGTCGCGGGAATTAACCGAAGCAGGTGAACATTACGCAACGTATTTCCTCCAAAAAAAATCGAAAGGTCACAGGGCATGATAGGATTCCTCATCTTAATAGTTTCCAAATTCTTAAAAAATTAACTCAATATTGATGATAACTTTGTTCACAGATTCGCAATGGGCCAACCAGAAGTATTAATTATGGCGATAAGCATCGTCGGGGCCATGGGCTTTATCCCCCATGGGTCTATTGGGGAAAAGGTTAGTTTCTTTAAAACTCAACTAACTTATTTCTGAACTATTTTGACTAAGAAGATTTGACTAAGAGCTCCTCATCACCATCATCATCTTCATCAGCCTGTTTCTATCTATTACTGGATTAAGGCTATCTAAAACGTCTATAAGTGTATTATCAACTTAAATCTCATTAAAATTTAAGTTCCTCTTAAAACATTCAGAATAGCAGTTCTAGTATAGGCTTCCAACCAGTTACACTTAGGATTCACACAACATTCTCTCCATAGGACCATATGCTGACGGAGGCTTTGCTACGTGAAGTGGTGGAGCGTATGGGCAAGGAGTTCAACGACGCGGCCTCCAGCTACCTGGAGTATCCTGCCAGTGAGCGCCACCTCGCACTCATGGCCAGGGCTAACAAGGAGCTGGAGAACGAGCAGTTGGACTATGATTCTCTCATCGACGGCAACCCTAACCCCAGCCTCCGTGACCAGGAATATCTGCAGCACAGGTTTGTGGAGCTTCCTCAAGATCATCCAGTTTTCCATTGTTTCCAGTTATTTACTCATCGCTGCTGTAAGATTTCTTCTGCTTTTAGGATTGAAAGGTTTTTAATGTTGGTGTATTCAGTTGCAATGCAACAATGGAAAGTAACAGCTTCATTAACTCGTAAAATTTCAGCATGTTCTACAAAAAAAATTAGATGTACAGCATTCGAGTTCAATGTGACAATTCATGATCACATTAATCTTTTCCGGTTCCCCTATTAACTCCCGTCTGAGAACAATTGAAAACTAACAAACAATTAATGTGCAAACACTCAATAACAATAGAAGCGCTCCATTGTATACAGTTGTCCTAATTTAAAAAGACAAATCAAGTCTAGACGAGGAATTAGAACAAATTAACAGCATTAAGATTGACGGATAACACGATTAAACAATACATTTGAGGTGCGGCTCTGCCACAAGCTAAGATATTTATAGCTATAGCCCTCCATTGATTACATGCATACTCTCCATTCGTAGCGGATTCATCACATACATTAGACTTATCGCTTTTAAAGCAAGACGAGATACAGCTGAAAGAGGTCATATCTGTGCACTGAACTCATAGTACGTTTGGTATTCCTCAGTGAACTAGCCAGGCCAGGTGTACACTGACTTTTTTATTGTTACTTATAATGTATAGTCTTAGCTCCTAGACAGGGATGAGCCTATAACGATAATCAAATCAGATTGTTAAAAGTATCTCTTGGAACATTCCACAATATCTTCACTATCACTGGAATCATGTCTTAAGGTCTTCGCTATGATTACGCTAATCGTGTCACTACCCTATTAAATTAAACAATTTATAGGAATCAGACTAAGCAGTTATTATTTTAAAATCAGAAAAAGTTTGTTGCTAACTCCAAAACTTAAAGGCAATTATTGACATATAAATCAACGATCAGAATTTTCTAAGGATTCCAGAATATTCTATAGAACAACTTTTGCTACCACTGAATTTCTTATAATCTTCTTAAATTCGGTAGCTCATTGTGGGGGCATCAGTACGTAACCGGCGGTGCTGGCGAAGGTGAACAGCGTCTCCAACCATCCGGAGTAGTCCCCAACCGACAGATGGTGAAGACAGACGCTGTGCTCCCGGCCTACTGCAACCCGCCTAACCCTTGCCCCGTTGGATACACAGGTACCGTTAACAGCATTCAGATCACATTCAGATCACCATTTAATTTTTTTTCATTCCATTATCAGCATTCACGTTTCTGCTTCTTCTTAACCAACTTGAAATATAAGAAGACTGTTGATTTCGGTGGATATAGTTGGTTAGTAGTCTTAAGTTGGAACTAGTGACTACTTAATTGTTTTATATGCTTTGTTTTTGACTTTTCCTTAAATTTGCAGTTTTTTTACCATCACAGTCACATAGTATATCGTTTTTTGCCATATCATTGAAAATGTTTTGTGCCTTCAATTTAAAACGTTTACCAGAGGATCAAGGCTGCATCAGTGAGTTCGAGAACACGGCAGCCTTCAGTCGGGAGTACCAGCTCGCGCAGCGCTGCATGTGTGATGGAGAACACATGTTCAGCTGCCCTCCCGACTCCTCCTCCGACCTCGACCTTCGCTTCCCGGAGCACCACAAGAATCTCGTCGCCAAGAAGTATAAACCTGCAGTTAGTATGCATGGTTTGATTCTGTAACTTATGTCTCGAAGAGAATTTTATCTTAACTCTTCGTAGCGTACACAAAATATTTTTAGAATTTTTATGGTAATTTAGAAGATCTTTTCACTATCTTCTATCCTTTGGAAGCGATTATACTAAGAACTTGTTCTAGTTCTTTACAAATTTTGAGCTTTGACAAGGATCAAAAGCCCTTGTCTTATTTTATTAATACTAAAACACAAAATTTCCGTTTCCAGGTAGAAAATCCTTATTTGACGGGCGAACGCTTACCGATCGCAGCTAAAAAAGGTTTCGATGTTAATGTGTACTAAGCTTAGTCTTAAATAGATGTATACTATATTAGTTAGTGTCTATCTTAAATGTGAGGCATAGTCATCTTCTAGCCTACTCTTTTTGGCGTTATTATCTTTGTATTATAAATGTTCTGTTACAACTTCATTTATGGTGAATTGTGGGTCACGAATGTCAGCGACGATCTATTTAACAAACAGCACAAAATACGTTCCTAGGAGGATCGTGACTCGCATAGTTGGGTGGGGAATATAGAAAAGATACGGTGGCGGTAACATTGTAGGTAAAAAGAAGGAAGTAAAATATATTTTTGTAATCCCAATTTAACACTGTCACATACATTTTCAAAATTTCTCTTCAACAATTAATTTGAAAAGCAAAACGGTACATCAATACCTAAAAAAACTTCATTAAAATTAATTTCAAATATTTTTAATAATTGATGGAAGGTGTCATAATAATAAAGAAGTTGAAAAAGTGAAAAAAGCTGTGAATTTCGTTAGTTGTAAATAAACGCTCTTTTACTAAGCTGTTATAAATGTGATATATATTTTACATTTTATTTAAATATTAATTAATAAGTTTCACGTACATAATTATACATTCGATAAGAAATTTTAAAATCCCCAAAAAAAAACAGGATAAGTGCTAGCTAAGTATTACATTAGTTTAATTTTTTAATAGGCTATAGGTATGTACTAAGTAAGGTATAAAAATTAATAAAAAACTATTAAAATAAGTACTAATTATATTAAAATAAGTATTTCAACCTACGCGAATGAGCACTTAAATGTAGTTGTAGATTATAAGTATGTATATAAAATACTTAAAAGATCATACGTGGACGACTCTTATAAATGAAATAGTATATATATATAATTAGGTAATATAGGATCGTGTTTAATACAACACTGTAGATTGTACGGCAATTTAATTGCAATATATTGGAAACTTGGACATGGATTTCATAAAAATCACCAGACATAGTTAAGGAAACGCGCAATTAAGTACTGTACCATATTATTGCTGCTGAAATTTACACTATAAGTATATATACAGGGTGGCCGGGCAGTTGACGTTCAAGCGTGAAATTTAGATACTTTATGAAGAGTATCCAAATTACTCCCACGTATGGTATTCAATGGTTTCTTTCGTAATTTTCGCCTAACATCAGTTTTAGATTTTTTTCTCATTCTCTTGGACGGTTCTGGTTCATTGTGATAACTGACTAACACAGTCTAACCCTAGAACTTATGGTTTATCTAGGCATTGCAGAATTTATTTAGTATTTCTCCGAAAGTTCGATTACGATTTGACTCAATACACATAAATCAAAGAAAATGTTAATGTTTCTGCCCTAAGATCGGAAAAAGAGGATCCTCAGACCAAACGAGATGTTCGTGCCTGTCGGGCTTTCTGCCCACAGCTGTTCGTTTTAGGGTGCTAGGTTAGACTTTATTAGACATTTATCAAAACAACTAAACCAGTACCTAACGTCCAACAGAATGCGAAAAAATAGGTGAACATTACGAAAGAAATCATGAAAACGTTATAACTCAAAAACTACGTAAAATCGTAGAATATATATGGGGTGATATGGATACTTCTCATAATGTACCTAAATTAACGCTTGAACGTCAACTGCCCAGCCACCCTATATAATAATAATAATATAATAATTTTAATAATGTATAAAAATATATTGCTAGCTGTGATAAGATTTAGTTTAAAATAAAAAAATACAAAAACCAAAAAAAAAATACAAAGCATCGGTAAATATTCGAAATTCAAAATTTAATCTTCTAAGAATTATTATGTGAATTGATTTACTCTTACTTTAGTTGTGCCTCATAGCTGTGTTATATACCAAGGGGTTAACACGATTTTTGGAAATAAAATCTAGTGAAAATGTGAGCGACAAATTAATAAAATACAATAAAAAAGTATGAGTAAATTGTGTTAATCGCCTTTAGTATCTAAAGATGCTGAATGCTCTCAAAAATACCTAGTTATGGGGCAGTACTTTTCAAGCTCATTATTTTCTCTTGAGAAATGATATATAAACTTATTTATTGGTTTAAATAAAACACTGGTTTTAAATAGAGAATAAAAATTATTTTATCATAGTGATCGTCATTGTTTTCTATATATTGTGTGGATACCATGCCATTGAAATTGGATTCTTTTGCGGTAAACTCTTGGTTGACCGCATTTTCGACTTCTTCCATCTCCTAACAAATCTTGACGAAAATGATTTTTTTCATTTAAAATCATGTTTTATGCGTATTTTTTCAATTAATTCAATCAATATAATAATCATTAATAAATAATAGTTAAAAAATATAAATAAAAATATAACTGTAGGTACGATTCCAAATAAATGTCTTCCTTAGTATTTATATATTGTAAAGAAATTGATTTATGCATAATAATTTATTAATCCAAATTATAAGTATAGTTATAAAAGATATATTTATTTTCGCTGTGAAATAAGTAGATTTATTTATTCTAGTATCTTTCTAATATATATTCAGGTTTATTACTAAGTGATAGCAATTTCCGGAAATTTCATGTAAAATGAAACTTATGTAATAACAAGCTAATAGAAAAAAAAATATTATTCGCGTCTAGTATTATTGACACCCTTGATATGGCACTGGGCACTTGGCATTTATAAAAAAGAACATTAATTACATATATGATAAGTATATAATGATCTGCTGTAATCAAACCATGACACCAAATTCGCAAATTACTGCAGCTAATCAATAAATACCAACCTTTATATATACTAACGAATAAAATTCAATAAACATCTCGGGACTTTTAAACTCTCCACTAAATAATGAACCTGTTTATATATTGGGCATGGTCGTCTCACTGCAGGGAAAGGCCTCCCTACCCTGTCCACTCGTGTCTTTGAAACCCTTTCTGTCGCCAATCCTTGCCATAGGCGTCAAATTCATAATGCCATCTCCTTCTAGGCTTGCCACGACATCTGTTAACATAATTATATTTATTTAGTACCTGTATAATTATGTATCAGACATGTACATATATATATGAGTGCCAAGTCTCCAACTGTACGATAGCCTATAAAATCGAATAGTATGTATAATAAGAACTAATTAATAACTGATTTATAAACGCCTTATATTATTTATTATCGCACAGATTTCACTCAGAATAATTAAAATAAAAAAGTACATACTGTTAATAATATATGTACACTGTACATTATGGAACATAATATTAATATATATTTTTGGTACAATATTACAAAATTCACAAATTCAGACAAAAATCTGAAATAAATTCAAACATCTTCTAAAACCAATTAAAAACTTATATATACGTATATACATATATTATTTATATGGATAGTTACAATCAAAACTTCTGACGTCATAATCTGGATGAAATCAATTAATATAAGGTGTTTGTATCAAACGTCACTCCTCATATGACGCACACTGTATTCTATTAACAATATAAGTTGTATATATTATATACAGATTTAATAATTTGTACTTTTAAAAATGATACGTCGAGTAATCTAGTCATGACAGTAGTTTGTAATATATAAAGTTAAGGGAAACTAATGTAAATATTAATAAATACGAGAAGTATAGCTTAAATATTTAGGATATAGATATTAGGCATTCCAATGAGAATAATAATATGAGAAGTAATTCAACCTCTTCTGTACAGTTATTGATAGTTTTATTTTGACAATTCGACGTTATCCATTGCGTACTTTCATCTTAATTGTGAAAAACACGAATAACTTTTCAAGTAAACCAGCAATGGAATCATGATTGACAATAAGAAATCAGTATATTCTTTTGACTTCCTAATCTTATACTATCTGCACAAAAAAAACTATACTGGCTAACTTTACACATAAAAATGAAATAGAAAAGAAATACTTTTTCATGTCAGAAAACCTTTCAATACTTAGTATATTATTCTCATTGAAGTTTTGAGATTTAAGGAAATTATATTTTTATAAAAAAATAACCGGAAAAATACAATAAACACAAGAAATACTATATTTTTCTATGAATAGACAATATATTTTTCCATAAGTCTTTGACATCGGATACGGACGTACCCTGGCAAATGGGATCTTGTATGGCATATAAGCTTGTACATATAGAAAAAATACAACAATCCATAAGTCACTTCTCAGAGTCACCTAGTTCCTAGAAATATAAACAAACATAATTACGTATAGAAGTAGTGTAGTTTGAACTACAATCATAAGTATAAGATTAGATAAATAGAATAAGTTAGTTTTAACAATACGTATTTTCACAAGTAATAATTTTCAAAATAATATGTATAGTATCATTAAGTTTTTTCAAATTTATTAAACATAATATTGGCAATAATTTAAAATAATAAGGCTCCATGTTTTTTGATATCGTTAAGAAATTATTATAAGTTTGATTTTTATCTTTCCCGCAATAATTTATATTAAATTAATGTTAAAATTAAATACTAGAACTTTATGTTTGCGCATCGTGCTTTGTCGAAAACTAATAGCACTCATACTTTACATAAATTAACAAAATAAAAAAGTCAGTAAAACAATAATTGTATATGTATCAGAAATTTCGAAAAAGGTTGAAACATAATTAACTCCGCACAGGTACGATGCATCATACACAAACAAACATAAATATAGAACAACAAATAAAATAACTAATTACAATACAACTTACATTACAAAATGCAAAAGTCTCATTATGTTTAATTTTATAAGTTAACGAATTTAAAAAAAAACTACATTTTTATTGACAGAATCGCGGTGCGCATATTTATACCATCACGTGGCTTTTTCTTAATTATTATTTAACATAAATACTACCTCAAAATGGAAACTTTTCAAACTACATAAAATAATTAGGGCTATCAAATGATAAGGATTTTTTTTATTTTTACAAATCCGAATATTCGAACAATGTGTCACGTAAGTTATATAAAAAAATATAAGACAATAGTAGCCTAACACGGG